AAAAAAGCGAACAGAATGCTGGGAATAATTAAGAAAGGGATAGATAATAGGACAGAAAATATCATGTTGCCTTTATATAAATCCATGGTACGCCCACATCTTGAATACTGTGTGCAGATGTGGTCACCCCATCTCAAAAAAGATATATTGGAATTGGAAAAGTTTCAGAAAACGGCAACAAAAATGATTAGGGGTAAGGGACGGCTTCCGTATGAGGAGAGATTAATAAGACTGGGACTTTCAGCTTGGAAAAGAGTCGGCTAAGATTGAGGTCTATAAAATCATGACTGGTGTAGAGAAAGTAGATAAGGAAGTGTTGCTTACTACTTCTCATAATTCAAGAACTAGGGGTCACCAAATGAAATTAATAGGCAGCAGGTTTAAAACAAATAAAAGGAAGTATTTCTTCACACGATGCACAGTCAACCTCTGGAACTCCTTGCCAGAGGATGCTGTGAAGACAAAGACCATAACAGGGTTCAAAAAAGAACTAGATAAATTCATGGAGGATAGATCCATCAATGGCTATTAGCCAGGATGGGCAGGAATGGTGACCGTAACCTCTGTTTGCCAGAAGCTTGGAATGAGAGACAGGATGAATATACTTGATGATTACTTGTTCTGTTCATTCCCTCTGGGGCATCTGGCACTGGCCACTGTCGGAAGACAGGATACTGGGCTAGATGGACCTTTCGTCCAGTAGGGCCGTTCTTATGTAAATACAAATATATTCATAATATTGTAAATGTGTAATGAACACTGTTCTTTGCTTGAATCATCTACAGAGCCTGCAACCCAAACGTTTTGCCACTACGTAAAATGTGATTATTAGGGCACTACCAAATTCAAAGCCGTGAAAAACGCATCACGGACAGTGAAATCTGATCTCTCCTGTGACATCTGGTGCCCAGCCGGGGGTTCCTTCCCTGCGCAGAGTTCCAGCTGCTAGTCCTGGCGGGGATGGGGAGAGACAAGACTTCCTCGTCTCCAGTAGGCACTGCTTCCAGGGCAAGTCAGACCCACCTCTGGCTGCAGGAAGCTCGGCAACTCCAGCTGTCAGCCGCCCCTCCCCCCCCGACCCCTTTGGGCAGGAGACTGTTGGGAAAACCAGACATATGGTAATCCACCCCCCCATCCTCTGTGACCCTCACTTCTGCGCTGCTGCTAATGGTGGCACTGGCTTTAGAGCTGGGCACCCGGCCAGCAGCCTTCCTCTCCGACTGCCCAGCTCTGAAGGCAGCACCTCTGCCAGCAGCGCAGAAGTAAGGGTGGCAATCCCATGACCCCCTTACAATAGCCTTGTGACCCTCCCCCGACCACCTTTTGGGTCGGGACCACCAGTTACCAATACTGTGAAATGTCAGATGTAAACATCTGAAAACGTGAAACTGATTTTAAATCCTCCAGGTCATGAAACTGAACAAAATGGAACTTGAATTTGGTAGGGCACTAGTGATTACCCACTGTGAAAGTAACTTTAAACAAAAATGAAATTAGTCAGTCTGTTTTCATTGGCTAGTTGAGCGAAATACATAATTTTCCTAAGTGATTCTAAATGCATAACCTGCGTAAACAAACTAACTAGTGAAATTCTTATAATTATTCAGTTTTCATAAACCCCATTGTTATTAGAGACAAGGTGGGTGAGTAGTTACCATTTACGATAAACAATCTGTTCCACCTTGTGTTAGCAGTGATGCTCTAAATAGGTTTCCCAGACCTGCAGAGTTCTGTGTAAGATTGAAAGTGTCTCTCTCTTACCAATAGAAGCCGGTCTGATAAAAGATATTACCTCACCCACCTTGTCTCTCTAATATCCTGAGACAACATGGCTACAATACTGCATACTACATTGCTATTAACAGATGAAAGGACATTTTAAAAAGTCCTTTTAATTAATTGGGGCAACTCAACCAAATATTGATGTGAGACTGTTTTCTGAAGTGCAATACTTTGTTTTAAAGGTTTTTGTTGTCAGGACCTACATTTAAAGTCAGCAGCAGATCTAAGTCTAAAGCCTCCATTCCATTAGCACAGAACTCTGCATTCAGGTGGGTATGCACTAGTAGAGCCTGATGCAGGACTGGAACCATTGTGAAGATATCAATAATTATTCTAAACATTCCTCCTCAGCAAATCGGATTTCTCTTATTAAAGGAGTGGGGGAAACAATGCCACCTCACCACATAAGTGATTCTGACTATTAGAGGGCATAATAAATATTACTGTACTATGTAACTGCATTTTATGGAGGGATGTTGTTGACCACGATTAACTGCAGGTTAAAAATCTGCAGTCCTATAAAATACAATTTGAATTGTTTGTTATATGTTTGTTATAATAAGTGGTTGCATAATCATCTTTTACCTCAAGAATGAATTTCAAGTAGATCACCTAATTTTTTTTTAATAGTAGTTTAATCAATATACACTTACTGCCTCTCATACACTTTGTATTATTGTAATGTCTTTGAGTCTTTAATGTATTTGGTTGCTCCTCAATTTTCTCTTGCAGTTTAGACCAATCCCAAACTGAAATTGCTAACTGAGGAAGTTGTGTGCAAGGCTGCAGGAACCGCAGAAAATTTATTTTGATGGCTTACACAATACAAAAACTGTACTATTTTTTAATGATCCATACTCTAAAGCTGGATACTATTAAATCTCGTTTGCAGTTTTCCTGCTTAAGATGGAGTGACTGAAGATCTTATTGAGAAAGGGAAATAAAAAGTGATGAATGTGATATAATTTATAAATCTGCAGGGGAGATACCAAAATCTTGACACCCCTTAAATAGCTAATCCCAGCTCATCAGAAAGGTCCCACATCCTCTCCCTTTTCCAGACCTGGTGACCAAAGCACCAGGCTGCCAGGTGACTTGCACACTGAGGTCCAGCACACACACCAGTACCTCAACCACCATTGCTCTAAGCATTATGCTTCCCTGGCTGCCTGGCTCCTTTGCACTGAAACCTGGACACTTGAAAACCCGGACAGCGGATATCTTCTTGGGGTTGGACATCGCAACCTGCCTGCTCCTGCCACGGACAGTACTGCGACTCTGGCCTGAGCTGGTTCTCGTGGCAGGCCATTCCTCCGGCGTGCAGTCCGGAGACCGTAGCACCCAACACACCCACCAGTTTGCCGGCCCTGCACCACGCAGCTGCCCCTATCGAAAGGTCTCGAGGCACAGCTGCTCCCCGCTTCGCCCCAAAGCCCACCGCTCTGCCTCTAGGTGCTACCTGCTGTACCCACCCTCTTCACTGTGGGGCGGAGGCCATATACCCCAGTGGCCAGGCACCTGAGCTGCATTGCCCCATGCTCCTGGGCGGGACCGCGCCCCCTACCTGCTACAGCCGTGCACGGGGTGACCCTGCTGGGTCTGCCTGTGCCTGGTGCTGCACTTGTTGCTGGGGGGAGAGTAGAGAAACACCAACCTGCACCAGGGTTAGCCCAGGGTACAGCCCCCCCCCCCCATAGCGTTGCCCCCCCATGGCACTGCCCGCTCCCCCGGCCCCAGGTACAGCCCCCCCCCCCACGGCGCTGCTCCCCCCAGGTACAG